ACATCTGTCAGATCTTATGTGAATGTCTGTAATTAGGTGTTTGGACCTAATTACTTAATAAGTGAAACTATTAGATATTTCTTTGGCTAAGGGACACCATGAAAAAACTAGCGAGATTCTAAGGGCACCGTGAAACAAGAAAGTTTGGAAACTTCTGCCTTAGGAACATGCTAGGATTCAAAGGACATTGCCTGCTCAGAGTAAAATTAGAGTAGCAAATGAAAAGTGGAAAGGACAGTGCCTCTAACTTCGGCATACCTAATTATACATAGTGGGGCCTTTTCATAGCTCAATGCTGGCTCTAAAGAACTCTTGTGCTCTCTCATTCTAAATTCACAGCGGGAGCCCCTTAAAAATCACTGAATCTTGCTTTCAAACCAGTGAATTTCATTCTTCCTTAATAACAAAAACAAAGCAGTAATTTTCCAGTGTTGATCTTGGGACCAAACAGAGTTCCTCAAATATTTAGAGAAATCCTACTAAGATTTAAGTATCACTTTCTTCATGAAGAAATGAATGACTTTATGGAAAGATTCACTCTGCAACTTCATAATAGCCCAAAATTTAAAAATTTACTCTATATCTGGGATTGGTAAACTTTTTCTATAAAAGTTCCAGAGTAAATATTTTAAAATGTTCTTTTACAACTCTTTAAAAATGTAAAAACCAACTGAAAGCAGACACTTGAGCAGATATTTGTACACCCATGTTCATAGCAGCATTATTCACAATAGGCAAAGGGTGGAAACCCCCTAGTGTCATATCAATGGATGAATGGCTAAACAAAATGTGGCATATACACATAAAGGAATATCATTCAATCTTACAAAGGAATGAAATTCTGATGTATGATACAACGTGGACGAAATTTGAAAACATCAAGCTAAGTGAAATAAGCCAGATACAAAAGGGCAAATATTATAGTATTCCATATATGAGTTACCAAGAATAGTCAAATTCATAAAGACGGAAAGCAGAACAATGGTTACCAGGGCCAGAGGCAAGGGCTAATGGGGAGTTGTTTCATGAGTACACATTTTCTCTTTGGGGTGATGAAAAAGTTCTGGGGATGATAGGGGTGATAGCTGCACAATGTAAATGCAGTTAATGCCACTGAAATACAGTGGTAGGTAAAGTTGAAGCTTAGAAGTGGACAGAAATAGCTTCAAGGTTCAGATTTGAAAGTTTAATTTTACCACTTGTGTTACTTTTATTTTCTTCTCCATTCATTTGGAGCATAGTAGACAATTTCCCCTCTCATATGTTAGAAAGGAGAAAAAAGGAAACATTGGAACATTAAGCTTATTCTAAAGACTCAGATCTCTCCCCTGCATGCTTGCAACCTTTAAATGTAAAACTCACTTAACTCATGGATTAGTTAGCACAATCTCAGACTCTGGAGCTGACCTATCCCTAAAATAAGAAAAACTTAATGGACTGTATGTAGGCTACAGGCAAAAAAAAAAAAAAAAAAAAGTCACTATAAGCAAGAAACTTCTTTCAGATTAGATAAACAGTACAAAAATGTACAGACAAAAGACAATTGTTTCAGTTATCTATTCACTGGAAGAGATGTGTAACAAACAACCCTAAACTCAGTGAAGTAAAATGACAATCATTACCCTCATGAATTCTTCAGGTCAGGACTTAGGACAAGGCAGAGCAGGCTGGTGTGTCTCTGGCCAGGATTAGGGCCTCAGCTGGGATGACCCAAATGACTGAGCGACGAGAATGGCTAGGAGCTGGAATCAGCTTCTCAGCTCACATGACTGGCACCTAGGCTGGAGTGACTCAAAGCCTGGGCTCAGCTGTGACTGTTGACCAGTGTTACCTTCAAGGGGTCGCTGTATTGGGCTTTCTCACAACATGCTAGCCTCAGGCAGTGGAACTTCTCACAGGAAGGCTGAGAGTTCCAAAAGGTAAATGTTCCAGCCGACAATGTGGCACTGCATGGTCTTTTATGACCTAGCCTCAGAAGTCACATATGGTGACTATGACGACTTTCACCAACTTAGATTGGTTAAAATCAATCACAAGCCCACATACATGTAAGAGAGGGAACACAGACACTATCTTGTTATCAGATGAGTATCAAAGAAGTTGCAGTCAGGTTTTAAAACTACCATGGACATATTTATAGAGAAATGGAGATACATGGCAAAGGGTTAACAGTGTCCAACCCCCAGGATCCCTCAAAGTGCATTTAACTTATTATCTTAATTCAAATTAATCCAAACTTATCCTTCAAGAATAGCAAATTCCACCTATTTTCATGTGATGCAGTAACAAACTTCAATTAACCTCTATAACTTGCATCGAAGTTGACTAATATCTTGTTTTTGACCCTAGCACCATCTGCCAATTTTAATCATTTCTTATTTTTCAAACACCGTCAAGCTCAGATCCACCCTCAGGCTTAGGCTAAGTCATATCCAGAAAGAAGGCAGAGAATGCCTATAGCAAGCAAAGCAATTAGATTAGCCTTATTAACAGCATTATGGCTGCTGACACCAGTGGTCATTCCCTATCCTTACTAGACTTTAGGATCTTACAGGTCAAGAGAAAAAATGAAACAAATGGTGGGTAAATAAAGCTATCAACTTTTTATTCTCCAAAGTAAAAACATTTGAAGAACAACTACTATCTATTATCATATTAAAAAATAGGATAGACAATTTCAAAATAAAGCATGGTCCTTAAGAGTGAATAAATTTAACTAAATGAAAAAATCATATATATTATCTGAAATGCTTTGGACCAGCAGTGTTTTGGATTTCAGATTTTTTCAGATTGGGCAATATTTGCATTATACATACCAGTTGAGCATCTCAAATCTGAAAATCCAAAATCTGAAGTTCTTCAAGGAGCATTTCCTTTGAGCCTCATGTAAGCACTCAAAAATTTTCGGATTTTGGAGCATTCTGAATTTCAGATTTTCAGATTTGACATACTTAATCTGTAATTTTGGTTTTAATTTCTCTGCTGATCTGAAGAAATTTCAGCATAGAAGAATTCCAGTTCGCAAACTGGTATGTGAAATCATTTGTGCATCTGTCTCGTCTCTTCCCTCTTTTGCTTTTTTCTAATGGTTTTAGACTTTTGCTTTAGGAATTCAAAATCTAAACAAGACAAATAAGTAAATGAGTATAATACCATATGAATGCTGTAAGAATACATGGGGAAACAAAAATAAAGGAAGGTCTCACAAACTAGGTTAAAAAAAAAGTTTGCCCATGAGAAAGAATGGGGAAAATTATAGGCAGCAAAAACAATTGTAGCTGAAAGCACAATCTATGCATACAGCATATCCAAGATAGCCTCTACTATGTACCAAAAAATAAAGAGTAGTTATACTTGTTGTAGAGTAAGGTTAACTTTCTCTTCATTATTCTTCTCTTTTATGAACTTTAACAATAGAGCAAGCATTAATTTAATGATCAGGAAATGTTTTTTAATTTCAATTTTATTTTTTATTTTTTTGAGACAGAGTCTCGCTCTGTCACCCAGGCTGGAGTGTAGTGGTGTGATCTCGGCTCACTGCAAGCTGTGCCTCCCGGGTTCACGTCTTTCTCCTGCCTTAGCCTCCTGAGTAGCTGGGACTACAGGCGCCCGCCACCACACTCGGCTAATTTTTTGTATTTCTAGTAGAGACGGGGTTTCACCCTGTTAGCCAGGATGGTCTCAATCTCCTGACCTCGTGATCTGCCCACCTCGGCCTCCCAAAGTGTTGGGATTACAGGCGTGAGTCACCGCGCCCGGCCTTAATTTCAATTTTTCAAGTAAGCTTAGGAAGAACAAACAAAAGGCCTATTTTTCCGGTAGAGAGCAGTTTGGGTCAGGTTGTAAAATACAGATGTTAATGACTGGGAAGTAGGCAGCGGAAGTCAAGCTCCAAACAGACAATACCAGGAAAGGGGCTCATAATATTCCTTCAGTGTCTCTGTAAGAATCCTGGGCTAGGTGTACTCAATGTTGCAAGCCTCCTTACCCATATGGTCATTAGGCGGAAATTCCCCAGGTGGCAGTCACTAGCAGGTCAAATGCTTAAATATAATGCCCTTTGGAATCAGAAGAACCAACGTTAGTATCTCCACACTAACACTTAACTAGCTCAGTGAGACTGGGCATTAGCCACTTGACTTTTTCATCTGTAAAGCGGAAAAATGCCTACCTCTCAAAATGTTTGTGCAGAACAACTTACATAATGTAGGTAATGAACTTAGTACAGTGCCTGTCCCCCTGAAAATTACAATAATATAAAACGCATTTGTATATGTAATTGAGAAGTAGATATTTGTTTGCTCTATTGGTTTAAAGGCTTTAAGCATATAAAACTCCTTTGTCAGCTAGAATGTCAACTTTTTAAAACTTAAATGAGCGCAAATGTTTAACACGAGTTCCAAATGTGGAAAGGACATTCCGTATTTGCAGTTAATTCTAAAATTAAGCTACCTTTAGAATGATATTTCTGTAGGATCCAGAAATAACCAAGCGGCCTAGCCCCTAGATTCCAGCAACTGACATAAAACTAGGTGGAGGTTTCCCATTCTTCCCTGTCTTCTTACTCCAGCCGGCTTCTGTATCCACTCTAGATTGAATAGGGGATGTTTTGTGTAGAGATGGGCCTTCTCTCTTCCAGTCCAACTCTGAAGTAACCGCCCCTTACCCAAGCTTTCTTTAAACTGTCATAACGCCATCAGAAGAATGTAGTAGGTGTGCCTCACGTATCCTCAAACAATTCCTGCAGCTTCCAGAATCCTTGTAATAGCCCACTGGACCACCTGCGGCACCTCCACCCACTTCCATGCACCTGCTCTTCTTTCCAACCCCAGTACACAATCCTGCAGCCCCGCCCCCGCAGCTGACCAATCAGAGAGAGCAAAGTGAGCCGGATGGGGCGGGTCCAGTTTGGCGCTGACGACGAATCACCTGCCTTAGACCGCAGGGGCGGAAGCGGAAAAGAGCTGAAAGTCCTGGTTTGGCCTTGGGTTCCGCCGTAGGGGATGTCCCGTGCGAGTGAGTGAGATCCTGGGGCCTTACCTACTAGTGGAATCGGGTGAAGAGACGCCTGCCAGTGCGGGAGGTAGGAAGCTCGATTCCCCAAAGAAAAGAGCGAGTGGGCAGGCAGCTGCGAGACAGAACCGGAGCGTGCAGGGTCCCTAGAGGCCGGTTCCTGGTCGGTGCTGCTCTCCTGGAAGCCATGGTACAGGCAGAGCTCAGGGCGATCCCCAGGTGAGGGCAGCGGCTCTGCCTGGGATTCCACCGCAATAGAACCGGGTAGATGCGGGGTGGGGAAGAAAGAATGTTGCCTGCACTGCTCCCCAATAGCACCCTGAGCGGCTACATTTGCAGGAGCAGCAGCAGCAGAAGACACAGCGCCGGTCCAGGAGGCGGCTTGAGCTGTTCGTAAAGTCGCCCGACAGCTTTTTCTCCGTAGTATGCGAGTTGACAAAAAGCCAGAGAACAGGGCTCCCCATTACAATCTTTTCGAGCTCTTTTCCCTTGCTAACCGGATCTGATTGTGCGAAAACATGCCTTGCACTTGTACCTGGAGGAACTGGAGACAGTGGATTCGACCTTTAGCAGTGGTCATCTACCTGGTGTCCATAGTGGTTGCGGTTCCCCTATGCGTGTGGGAATTACAGAAACTGGAGGTAAGAGGGTTCTGCACCATCAGCCTCTACACTTTCTTCTACCCATCTGTAGTTGGGAAGGAGACACCCTTCCCCCATTTCTGCCTTGACAATCCTGAAAACCATCTAATGTAAACGAGCCCACTCTTAGGATATAAACCTCTCTAATTTCTTGTTCACGGTTCTTCAAGTCATGCTACAGGTGGAGGTGAGACCGGGTCGATAAAATAGAATATATTAATATAGCTGCTTAGAAGGGCACTGTTTTGCAAGTATTCATCAGTTCCCTGAAAATAAGGTAATTTTATTCCTAAAATCTGATCTGTTCAGATATTGGACTAAACTAGGTCAAATAAACTACCTTGAAAACCATGTATTGAATTTTACTAGTTTTTTACTAGCTTCCTGAATCAAAGGATTCTCGTTGTTTTAACTTTGGTGTTCGTTTTTACTGTGGAAATTAGCTCTTACCCAACAAAGGTTTTGCAAAAACCCCCTTATATATATATTTTTGATGTCATATGCTTATTGTGACATCAGTAATGTACTACAAGCTGGAAAACCCCAAGGTAAATAACTCAGATATAAATATTATATAATGAACTTTAAATTCGGGGTTAATAAAACCCACCAAGTACTTTTACAAGGAACACCTATTACAAGAACTATAACAAGACCATGACTATTTTAGGCCCTTCTTCATTGTGGAAATGATTTTTACATAAACTGTATTTAATATACATTTGTGTTCTCTATTTAGACTAAATTATTTTCTGATGACTTTCCCATACTAGCATAGTCCATATAGTTGTTCATTTGTTTGTTTGTTTTTGAGACTGAGTTTTGCTCCTGTTGCCCAGGCTGGAATGCAGTGGTGAGATCTCGGCTCACCGCAACCTCCGCCTCCCGGGTTCAAGCGATTCTTCTGCCTCAGCCTTCGTAGCAGCTAGGATTACAGGCATGTGCCATCACACCCCGCTACTTTTGTATTTTTAGTAGTGATGGGGTTTCTCCATGTTGGTCGGGCTCGTCTCAAACTTCTGACCTCAGCTGATCCATCCTCCTCGGCCTCCCAGAGTGCTGGGATTACAGGCATGAGCCACCGCGCCCGGTCCCATATAGTTATTTTTTGTTGTTTATTTTTATTTTCTTTGAGACAGAGTCTAGCTCTGTTGCTCTGGCTGGAGTGCAGTGGCGCGATCTCTGCCCACTGCAACCTCCGCCTCCCCGATTCCAGCAGTTCTCCTGCCTCAGCCTCCCATGTAGCTGGGATTACAGGTGTCCACCACCACACCCAACTAATTTTTGTATTTTTAGTACAGACGGGGTTTCACCATGTTGGCCAGGCCGGTCTTGACTCCTGACCTTGTGATCCACCCGCCTTGGCTTCCCAAAGTGCTGGGATTACAAGCATGAGCCACTGTGCCTGACCCATATAGTTATTTTTAATGGCCATGTAATATTCTGCTACATTAAATATTTCCCATTTGTTAGATATTTAGGTTATTTCCACAATTTGTCTACAAAAACTTAGGTATAAGCATCTTAATACATTGGGTTTTTCTTTCTTTGAAATATTTCCTTGGAGCATGGTATAGGAACTACTTTAAAGGTTAATAATATGCATAATATCAGTCCAATTTAAGACTTCTCTTAGTTGCTAGTTTCAACTGTGGTTTTTAGGTGCCACTAGGTTTTGTTTTTGTTTTTGTTTTTGTTTTTTTGAGACGGAGTCTGGCTCTGTCGCCCAGGCTGGAGTGCAGTGGTGAGATCTCAGCTCACTGCAAGCTCCGCCTCCCAGGTTCACGCCATTCTCCTGCTTCAGCCTCCTGAGTAGCTGGGACTACAGGCGCGTGCCACCACGCCCAGCTAATTTTTTGTCTTTTTAGTAGACACGAGGTTTCACCGTGTTAGCCAGGATGGTCTTGATCTCCTGACCTCGTGATCTGCCCACATCAGCCTCCCAAAGTGCTGGGATTACAGGCATGAGCCACCTCTCCTGGCCAGGTGAGCCACTAGCTTTTTAAGAAAAATTGGAATCTGCAATCTGTACTGCTAACATCCTAAGCCAAATTCTCAACATGTCTTGATTGGTCTCTTCTCAACACACCAGCCAGGGTAACTGGAGTTAAAGCCAGAGTTAAAACATGGCACATTATGTGTGTCCTCTTAAATCGCTTCTAGTCCTAGAGTAAAGGCCAATATTCCTCACTATGGCCATCAGGGTCCAACATGATCTGACACTACTCCCACTCGATCCCCCTCTGACTTTTTCTCCTCAAGTCCTAGGCTTCCACTGCTCCACTTTGCTCAAAAATCCCAGGCATTGGCCGGGCAGGATGGCTCACGTCTGTAATCCCAGCACTTTGGGAGGCCGAGGCGGGCAGATCACGAGGTCAGGAGAGCGAGACCATCCTGGCTAACATGATGAAACCCCGTCTCTACTAAAAAAAAAAAAAATTAGCTGGGCGTGGTGGCGGGCGCTTGTAGTCCCAGCTACTCGGGAGGCTGAGGCAGGAGAATGGCGTGAACCCGGGAGGCAGAGCTTGCAGTGAGCCGAGATTGTGCCACTGCACCTACAGCCTGGGCGGCAGAGCGAGACTCTTGTCTCAAAAAAAAAAAAAAAAAAAAAATTCCCAGGCATGCTCCCTCCTTGAAGCTTTGCACAAAGTTTCCCCTTCTCAGAATGTCCTTTCCCTAGATATTCTTCTCATTCCTTTATTTTCTTCAGGTCGTTACTCAGATGTCACCTGACTACTCTATTTAACATTGTCAACTTCCCCTCTCCAACTTTTCATACTCCTTTCTCTGCTTTATTTTTTCTTTTCCATAGGACTTACCACCATCTACCACAATACATATTTTACTTCGTTTTTTTTCCCCTTCTTTCTGCCCAAATGAGTGAGTCCCAATGATGAATCAGGCTTTGTATACTATATGAGAGAACACTACCTCCATAGAACTTAGTGGTGGAGACAAAAGGAACCAAAAAAAAAATCAATAAAATTGTATAAAATGCTGTGGAGAAAACCAGAAAAGATCTGAGAAGTTACCATGCAAGGCAGTCACTCTACCAGCTATGGAAAATAAAGCAGAAGTGAAGGGAATTTAGAAAGCTCTTTACGGTAGTGAGAGGTGGTAGGTGCCTGGGCTACGATGGTTTCTGGCCCCAGTAAGGATAGCAGGAATGGAAATGGAAAACTGAATTGTAAGTATTCTTAGAAGTGAGCAAACAAGACTTGGCGGGAGATTGGATTCCAGAGGAGAAGCAGTGAGAGAAAGGAAGAAATCAAAGATAGTTCTGAAGTTTTTTATTTGAACAACTGTGTAAATGGTGGTACTAGTTACTGAGATAGAAAATTGAGGGTTAGGAACAGGTTTGAGAGAAATTGAGTTCTGTTATGGACATTTAGTTTAATAAGAGACATTCAATAGGCATGTTAGATATGCTGTTGGATATGCACATCTAATATTCAGAACGATTTGAACTGCAGATATAAATGTGGCAGTTTATCTTGGTCTGCCCAGACTGCCGTAAGAAAATACCATAGCCTGAGTGGCTTAAACTACAGAAATTTATTTTCTCATAGTTCTGGAAGCTCATCCCATGCCCATGGTGGAGCATATACTCATTTATTAGAATGGTAGGATGACCATCTGCCCTGTTTAAACTATTTTTCCCACTCTCTTGACTGACCACGTATACCTGAAGTGAATGTGCACGTGATGGCGTGCTGCTCTAGTCTTTATACCTCAGCACACTTTTTTTTTTTTTTTTTTTAACCTCAGCACATTTACCTCATGCCCTTGGGTCAGTTCTACTGTCTCCCCTCAGGAAGACCAGGCCCAGAAAGCAATCTCTCCTATTCATCTCCACTCTCTGTTTTGAAGCATTTTGCTGAGGGAGAGTTAACTTATTCTTAGATGCTTGTCTTTAAGGGTTTTTTCTTTCTTTTCTTCTTTCCTCAAGTTACCATAGAAAAAAATCTGTTTATCTCCTCCTCATTTCGTGAGCCAAAAAACTCAACTCATGGCTGATAAGATTAAGAATAATATTACTGGTATCTATATCAGTGTGTCTCAAATTTGAATAAATTATTTAGAGGTAAACATAAAATTAAAGAATTATATTGATAATTTCTGCAGATACCCAGTGTTGAGTTATTCTAATGTTACTTAAATATATACACACATAAAATAGGTTAAATTTCTTATGCATATAACTTTTATATAGCTCAAAAATCAAAACAACTATAAAACCAATAATTAAAGTTAATGACATTAATGTGGAGAGATGATGTTTTTCTTAAACTAAATTACCACTTGCAATGTAAAAATGATACTACACGATTTTAAAATTTGGCCTGCAATGACCAAGTCTCTAGTCACTTGTTTTATGATTGTTTAAAAAACAAAAACAACTTTCTTTATAGCACACTGAGGACACTTGACCTTCATTAGTCACAAGCACATCATTTTTCTCTTAAGTGTACCACCAAGTTCTAGTTTTTGGAACTAAAGCCATCAGAAACAGCAATTACTTGGCATTACTTTTTTTTCTTTTCTTTCTTTTTTTTTTTTTTTTTGAGACAGGGTCTCGCTCTGTCACCCAGGCTGAAGTACAGTGGCATGATCAAGGCTCACTGCAGCTTTCATCTTCTGGGCTCAGGTGATCCTCTGGCACCCAGCTAATTTTTTGTATATTTTGTAGAGATGGAGCTTTGCCATGTTGCCCATGCTGGTATCACACTCCTGGGCCCAACCATCTGCCCGCCTCAGCCTCACAAAGTGTTGGGATTACAGGCATGAGCCACCACGCCTGGCCGCAGTACCATTCTTAATGATCACTTTATAATAAAGAAGATCTGGAATATGCTTATCCTATTATTATTTTATTAGATTGTCACTGAAATTTCACTTTCTTTGGTTTTAGTAACCTGTTGTCCACAATGGTCTGAAAATATTAAGTGGAAAATTTCAGAAATAAGTAATTTATAAGTTTTAAATAACTTATTACAATATATAATTGTTCTATTGTTAACCACTTACTGTGTGTCTAATTTATGAATTAAACTTTATCATAAGCATATATGTATAGGAAAAAACATAGTATATGCATATAGGATTTGGGACTATCTACAGTTTTAGGCATTCACTGGGGGGTCTGGGAACCTATCCCCCACATATAAGTGGGGACTACTATATTCAATTTTAAATGAAATGGATAAAAGCAAAAAGCCCTGTAATACGAGTGCTTACATTCCTTTTAGAGTCTTCACCTCCATATATTTGCTTTTCATTTACTGCTTTGATTAACGCCCCCACAATTAGTAAGACTTTGTACTGGCTTTTGGTTTGTTTTTGTTTTTGAGACAGGGTCTCTGTTGCCCAGGGTGGAGTACAGTGGCACAATCATGGCTCACTGTAGCCTTGACTTCCTGGGACCAAGCAGATCTCCCACCTCAGCCTTCCTAGTAGGTAGGACCACAGGCACATGCTTCCACGCCTCGCTAATTTATTTTTTGTAGAGATGGCATCTCGCCATGTTGCTCAGGCTGGTCTAGAACCCCTGGGCTCAAGCAATCATGAGCCACCTCACTCAGCCCTTTTCAAGCTTTCTATACATTTTAATGTAGAAATTTATTGTTGTAAAAATGCATTTGTTCTCCATACTTTTGTTTCCTACCTCTTTTATCTTTGACCCCGGGTAGAGGAAGAAAAAGTCTTGTTCAAACAGTGAAACTGGGCTGGGCATAGTGGCTCATGCCTGTAATCCCAGCACTTCAGGAAGCTGAGGGAGATGGATCACTTGAAGTCAGGAGTTCCAGACCAGGCTGGTCAACAGGGCGAAACACCGTCTCTACTAAAAATACAAAAAAATTAGCTGGGTGTGTAATCCCAGCTATTCGGGAGGCTGAGGCAGAAGAATCACTTGAACCCCAGAGGCAGAGGTTGCAGTGAGCCAAGATCGTGCCACTGTACTCCAGCCTGGGCAACAGAGCAAAACTGTCTCAAAAGAAAAGAAAAGAAAAGAAACAGTGATACTTAAAGTTGCAGACCTCAGTTCTATTTTAATTGTAAACTGCTCAACCCTTCAAGCATCAAAAATAAATGCCCACATTTTTCCCTTTTAAAAAAAAAAAAAAAAGGATTCATACTAAAGTCCGCCCTCCCAAAATTTTCAGTTTTTCAATTTTTTAATTTTTTTTTTTTTTTTTTTTTTTTTTTTTGTAGAGACAGGGTCTCACTTTGTAGGGCCAGACTGGTTTCAAACTCCTGGCCTCAAGCAATACCCCCACCTTGGCCTCCCCAAGTGCTAGGATTATAGGCACAAGGCACTGAGCCCGGCCAAGCTCTTTCATTTTAATATAAGAATTTATACTAATATGTTATTTTGTTTCTTAAGGTTGGAATACACACCAAGGCTTGGTTTATTGCTGGAATCTTTTTGCTGTTGACTATACCTATATCACTGTGGGTGATACTGCAACACTTAGTGCATTATACACAACCTGAACTGCAAAAACCAATAATAAGGTACATCTTAATATATTTTGATTCCACCAGTGTTGTGTTGGCTTATTTTATAAATATGACATAAAACGTTTTAAATTTATGTTTTCCTTTTCCAATAGGATTCTTTGGATGGTACCCATTTACAGTTTAGATAGTGTAAGTATGTTTCATTTTTATCTCATTAACTAAGAAGTTGTTTGATGATACTAACTATAATTACAGAATGCTTAATGAAAGTTATGTTATTGACAATAAGGAGTCAGATTAATAAGAAAAGTAAAAAGATTCACTTGTTTCTAATGTTGATAGAGAATATAAAGTATGATAATAAAAAATGTAAAATGTGATATTATAAATGTTTAAAAATCTATAGCTGTTTGCTTTCTTTTAAACTTTCAGATTGGTAAAGAATGTAATATTTTAAATTATATTACCACTCTTTTTATTTATTAAGTCTTTTATTTGAACCAAAAATTTAAAAACCTTCCCCAATAGATACACATGAAATTGTTGTAGATGACTGCTTCTAATTTGAGTAAATATAAAGGAAATATCTTTAGTAGCATTATCTATGATCATATTAAGAAAAACTTCAGATTTAAGAACTTAAGTACTTACTTTAGCTTCTCTCTTTATTCATTATTTACCCCTCAAACACTTACTTTTTGTTTACCAATATCTAAGATGTTTATTGCTTTTAAAAATTCATTTCACAGATTGATAGCCCTCATAATGATAAATTTTAGAGAGTCAGATGTAAGTATATGACAAGACATCTCAAGCATAAAAATTAGCTTATTGTGAGTACCATGAATGGAGTGGCGATTCATTTTATCTTAGCTGCAACTGTCTTTAACATCTGTGCTTTTTCATAGTGGATAGCTTTGAAATATCCCAGCATTGCAATATATGTGGATACCTGCAGAGAATGCTATGAAGCTTATGTAATTTACAACTTTATGGGATTCCTTACCAATTATCTAACTAACCGGTATCCAAATCTGGTATTAATCCTTGAAGCCAAAGATCAGCAGAAACATTTCCCTCCTTTATGTTGCTGTCCACCATGGGCTATGGGAGAGTAAGTATGTTTGGTTTAATTCTTTTATGTTTTGGTTTTTCGTTTAAGCAGAGTTTTTAAGTAGCAGTCAGCTCTTTACAAGGTAATACATTAAGTATTAATAGCAGAACAATAAGTATAAGATAGAGTTCCTGATGCAGTTCCTAGTTGTTTGAAGGCTAACAAAACACAGTTTTGTAATCCCACATATATGTTAGTCTTTTTTACATTATTAATCCCAAATCCAAAAATGAAAGGATTGCAGGTAAAAACAGTAATCATTTAATCAATATGCTTTTGCAGTTGAGAACCAAGGTCTGCAGATCTTACATAAGAACACACAGCTAGTTAAAAGACAAAGACAAGACAGTCTAGATTGTAGAACCGCATATGATATGAAGTAGGAGCAATAAGTAACAGTGTTTGGTAACATAATACATCAGCTTGCCTTATTATATGTTCATGTAGGACATTAAAATTTATGTCATTTCATTTTGAAAAATAAATTGAGGTTACAATTGCATTTATTATACAAATGAACCATTTGGTATTTTTCAGCAAGCAAACATTTGAAAACAGTGTTTTAGAAAGATTAATTTTGCAATATCATAAAGGATGAATTGGAGGGAAGAAGATTCCAGAGATGGGGAAATAGGAGTTTATAATAATCTATTTGTGAAATGAAACTGAAAAGGAGGGATGAGACTGGAATAAAAAAGAAAGGCAATAAGAGAATGCAACTGAAAAATCAATAGGACGTGTTCACTAACGCAACCACCCAAGGGGTTCACTTTGCCAGCCACCTAGACAGAACCAATTCATCAAGAGGGGAATTGCAAAAGATAAAGAGTAATTCAGACAGAGCCAGCTGTGCGGGAGACAGGAATTTTATTATTACTCAAAGCAGTCTCCCCAGGCATTCGGGGAGCAGAGTTTTTAACGTTAATTTGCTGGGTAGGGGGAAGCCAGTGAGCCACGAGTACTGATTGGTGAGAGGTGAAATCGTAGGGAGTCGAAGCTATCCACTTGTGCCGAGTCAGTTCCTGGGTGGGGGCCACAAGGTCAGATGAGCCAGTTTATTGATCTGGGTGGTGCCAGCTGATCCAACAAATGCAGGGTCTGCAAAATATCTCAAGCACTGATCTCAGGAGCAGTTTAGGGAGGGCCAGAATCTTATAGCCTCCAGCTGCATGACTCCTAAACCATACTTTTTTTTTTTTTTCTTGCCAAAGCATTTATTCTGGAGTTTCTCACCTTTTTTTTTTTTTTTTAAATTATACTTTAAGTTCTAGGGTACATGTGCACAATGTGCAGGTTTGTTACATATGTATACATGTGCCATGTTGGTGTACTGCACCCATTAACTCGTCATTTACATTAGGTATATCTCCTAATGCTGTCCCTCCCCACTCCCCACAATGGGCCCAGGTGTGTGATGTTCCCCTTCCTGTGTCCAAGTGATCTCATTGTTCAGTTCCCACCTATGAGTGAGAACACGCGGTATTTGGTTTTCTGTTCCTGCGATAGTTTGCTGAGAATGATGGTTTCCAATTGCATCCATGTCCCTACAAAGGACACAAACTCATCCTTTTTTATGGCTGCCTAGTGTTACATGATGTATATGTGCCACATTTTCTTAATCTAGTCTGTCACTGATGGACATTTGGGTTGATTCCAAGTCTTTGCTATTGTGAATAGTGCTGCAATAAACATACGTGTGCATGTGTCTTTATAGCAGCATGATTTATAATCCTTTGGGTATATCCCCAGTAATGGGATGGCTGGGTCAAATGGTATTTCTAGTTCTAGATCCTTGAGGAATCGCCACACTGTTTTCCACAATGGTTGAAGTAGTTTACAGTCCCACCAACAGTGTAAAAGTGTTTCTGTTTCTCCACATCCTCTCCAGCACCTGTTGTTTCCTGACTTTTTAATGATTGCCATTCTAACTGGTGTGAGATGGTATCTCATTGTGGTTTTGATTTGCATTTCTCTGATGGCTAGTGATGATGAGCATTTTTTCATGTGTCTGTTGGCTGTATGAATGTCTTCTTTTGAGAAGTGTCTGTTCATATCCTTTGCCCACTTTTTGATGAGGTTGTTTTTTCTTGTAAATTTGTTTGAGTTCTTTGTAGGTTCTGGATATTAGCCCTTTGTCAGATGAGTAGTTTGCAAAAATTTTTTCCCATTCTGTAGGTTGCCTGTTCACTCTGATGGTAGTTTCTTTTGCTCTGCAGAAGCTCTTTAGTTTACTTAGATCCCATTTATCAATTTTGGCTTTTGTTGCCGTTGCTTTTGGTGTTTTAGACATGAAGTCCTTGCCCATGCCTATGTCCTGAATGGTATTGCATAGGTTTTCTTCTAGGGTTTTTATGGTTTTAGGTCTAACATTTAAGTCTCTAATCCATCTTGAATTAATTTTTGTATAAGGAGTAAGGAAAGGATCCAGTTTCAGCTTTCTACTTATGGCTAGCCAATTTTCCCAGCACCATTTATTAAATAGGGAATCGTTTCCCCATTTCTTGTTTTTGTCAGGTTTGTCAAAGATCAGACGGCTGTAGATGTGTGGTATTATTTCTGAGGGCTCTGTTCTGTTCCATTGGTCTATATCTCTGTTTTGGTACCAGTATCATGCTGTTTTGGCTAAACCACAATTTCTAATCTTGTGGCTAACGTTAGTCCTACAAAGGCAATCTAGTCCCCAGGCAAGAAGGAGGTTTGCTTTGGGGCAGGGCTGTTTCTATAGCTTTGGGAGAAACTATAAACTAAGTTTCTCTCAAAGGTAGTTCAGCCTACTCCCAGGAATGAACAAGGATAGCTTGGAGGTTAGACACAAGATGGAGTCGGTTAAGTTAGATCTCTTTCACTGTCTCAGTCGTAATTTTGCAAAGGCAGTTTCACTAATAAATGGGGAATAAAGTGGAAGTTACAAGCCAAGGTAAATGGAGGTAGAGTGATCAGTGTAGACATACATCATAAGAATGGCTGCATTGCCCCCTATGCAGTACAGGACCATTTGTACGACATCCTGACAAATTTTGTCTCTATTTACACCCTTGAAATGACAGGGAGCTACCTGGCTTTTTAAAATAATAAGCTACTAATGTGATCATTTGACAAATATATATTGAACACCAAGTACATGCTAGTATAAAGAAATACCCTAGTGCACAGAACAGCCATAGACCTCATGGAACTTACAGTTTGGTTAGGAGAGTTAGGAATTAAATGAAGACACAAATACATAGTTACTTATTTCAGGAAATGCAATGAAGGAAGCACAGGAGACCATGAGAGAATAGTAATGTCAAATTAATGTAGATTGGTTATCGGGGAGACAGATTGTACTCAACTCTGAAGGCAACAAGGACAAATGGGCATTTATAACTAGAGCATGTTGAGGGTCAGTGAATGCAGAATTACGAAGAGGGGACATCAGGGCTAGGAGGATTCTCACTAAACTGACTGAACAGGATTCTTGCTAAAGGCAGGCCAAGGCCTTAGTCATCAAGGGTGGGGGCTGAGGAATTTGATCAGATGTCAGAGGTGATCAGATATCAAAGGGGGCTGGGGAATGATTTAGCAAGATTCTTTTAAACTGATTGACACTCAGGACAAGGACAAGGCCCAAGGATGAAGCCAAGTTGAAAAGAGGTGTCAGAGGCTTGTCTAAAGTTTGGTAAATGGGAGTCTTTGTCAAATGAAAAACCATTTATAGGATGTTATGCAGAGAACTGGTATCTGAATTTCATTTTCAAAGATTACTGTGTTTTTTGTTTTTGAGATGGTCTTGCTCTGTCACCTGGGCTAGAATACAGTGGCATGGTATCTGCTCACTGCAACCTCCACCTCCCCAGTTTCAAGCAATTCTCATGCCTCAGCCTCCCAAGTAGCTGGGACTACAGGCATGTGCCACCACACCCAGCTAATTTTGTTATTCTTTTTTTGTAGAGACAGAGTTTTGCCATGTTGGCCAGGCTGGTCTCAAGTGATCTGCCCGCCTCGGTCTCCCATAGTGCTGGGATTACAGGTGTGAGGATGGCTTGAGCCCAGGAGTTTGAGACTAGCCTGGGCAACATAGTGAGACCACAACTCTACAGAAAATTTAAAAATAGCTGGGTGTTGGGGCACACACCTGCAGTCCCAGCCACTCAGGAGGCTGAGGTAGGAGGATCACTTGAACCCAGGAGATCAGCAGTAGCCTGGGTAACATAGTGAGACCCCATGTCTACAGCAAGTAAATTAGCCAGGTGTGGTGGTATGCAGATATAGTTCCAGCTACTCAGGAGGCTGAGATAGGATCACTTGAGTCCAGGAGGTCAAGGCTGCAGTGAGCCATGTTCACACCACTGCACTCCAGCCTGGGCAACAGAATAAGACCCTATATCTCAAAAAAAAAAAAAAAAAGGTATTTAGATAATTTGTTTCCTGCCATCCACATTCTTCTGCCACTACTATTAAGGATGACTACGGTGAAATAATTAACTATAAATATGGTATCCTTCATCAAAGTGATTTCAATTTGGAGGCTTTGGGGAAAATCTGATGCTATTTAAATGAGTCGTTGAAATTCTAAGTTTTTTTTTTCTTTTGCAGAGTATTGCTGTTTAGGTGCAAATTAGGTGTATTACAGTACACAGTTGTCAGACCTTTCACCACCATCGTTGCTTTGTAAGTACTTGGATTTTATATGAACTTTTTTTTTAATCCTTGTGCTCTTATGTGGGAACAACTAAGTAGAAAACATAGTGTTAATGTGCTTATTTATAATGTAGGTGTAATCTGTTTTAAAAAAAAAAAACTATATAGAAACTCACTCTATTAAAATAAATAACATGACCATTTATAGGCAAAGAATCACCACAGGGGTCTTCTAAATATTTACCTCCTTTCTCGAGCTAGCTTGCTATAAAGCACTTTGAAGATTAAAAAAAAACACACACACTTTTTCAAATACATAGCTTTACAAAAACCCTACTGCATGAAGTTAAAGTATGCTACTTTAGGTTAATTACAGTTTTATTTTCTACATAGTTAATTTAGAACATATTAGAAGTACTCTAAGAAAGAAGTCATATTTTCTTTTAATACATTCTGTCAAGGCTTAGAATTGAGGTAAAATGGGGTATCATTAAGCTACCTGGCAAAACTATTCCCTAAAAATTCAAGAACATCAAAGACTTTAATGTCAATAGATTACATGTTTTAACTCTTAGTTAGTAACATTTTGCATGCTCACAGAGGAAAACTGGAAAGAAATACCGGTGAAAGAATTCTTTATTCTGCCTTTAAGCTAGCAATTATTTAGCCATTTAATTATGAAGGCATGCTTTATTTCCCTGCAGCTTAGAAAGTGGGCAAGACTATAAAAATACTGATGGTAGTACTTACTTGAGGGGATCTGGGTCTTTCATAAAATTTACCTCCAAGACAATTGAGGGGAAAAAAATTAACAACTATAGTTATATACACCTGCATTATACTATGTTTAACAATCAAGCTTTCCCAAAGTTATTAGACTGCATAGTTGGTTTTTTTAAATTTAGTAATCTTTCTAGTTGTTACATGTCTTATTTGGGATTTCCTTCAAGTTGAAGGAATAATCATATAATAACATTTCTAGAAAAAATGGGTTCTTTCATTTTTTAATTTCCTCTAGATCCAAAGTCAAGTGATTGTCAATGGATCTCTCAAATAAACTTACTTCTAAATTCTCTGTGTCCAAAGTCAAGTGATTATCAGTGGGATCTCAAATAAACTGACTTCTATAAGTATTGCTATTGCTGTATTTTAAAGTACAATTTTGATTTAGTTAATCATAGAGATATCTCATCTTTACTATTTTTAGAATCTGTGAGCTGCTTGGTATATATGATGAAGGGAACTTTAGCTTTTCAAATGCTTGGACTTATTTGGTTATAATAAACAACATGTCACAGTTGGTAAGTAAAATGTTTACTTTTCTTAAAATGTACTAAATTTGTATCTCTAACTAAATTTCTTTAGATAAAGTTTCTTCTTTAGGATAAGGCTTGCTTCTTTTTATCTTCCTATAAATTAAATCTGAAATTTAATTTATAGGAAGACTTGAAAAAAAACTTTAATATACATCTTAATACATATATAAAAATATAATAATGTCTTTGTTAATTATTTGGCGACTTATACCCTCACATGTTGACAATGTTTGTTCATTTATTTCTGTTGCCCATTGCATAGCTGTATGAGTGTATCATAAATAAAAGCACAGTGCTACATAAAAAAAAATACACACATATACTGAACATATTCAGAAGAGAAAATATCAAATTGATATTTGACGGTACAGGGTTTGAATGAAAATGCGAGAATAAAATTGTTATCATGTATATTTGGAGTTAAAGGAAAATTGAGAATGCCAAGTTTAGAAAAATGGATGATGTTCTAGAAACTAATGTTCCAAAGACCTATGATGTAATGTTCTATTCGATCTTAGGAGCTTAAAAAAATGTGCATTTTATTTAAATTCTTTGGCTAATGCTGTCAGCAAAATAATTTAGATGCAGTGGTATGCATGTTTGGTATTAGAGCTTTATAATAAAAATTAAATGTCCATGTAGCCAAAGCTTTCCCACATGTTCATCCTCTTTGGAACCAGTAATTCTGTTTCTGGGAATGTATTCTAAAGAAGTGTTCAAAAGTATGTTTGCCTAAAGTATCTTTGTATATAAAGCCTATTACTTGTAAATAACAAAAGGCTGAAAGCAATCCAAAACCCAATGATAGGGACTAGTTGAATGCACTGTGGTCTTTCCATTGGCCAAAATATTAGGCAGTTATTAAAAATAAGCCTGATGAAACATACAGAAGTTATGTATTTTAAGTGGAAAAAACATTAGGCAATAAAATTTTATAATTAGTTAATGATAGTTATTTAAAAACTGGCTTATGTGTACAAAGGATGATTGGAGACCATGAATCACTTTATTCTTTCTTTCTTTACTGGTTTCATATTCTAAAATACTTTACATTAGCATTTTATATAATTTTAATAGGGAAAAGTGAACTTCCAGGAAAATTTATTGTTATTCAGCACTACACTAGGTTATTACAGATTTCTAAAAATTGTTAATAAGTCTTGTTCATTTAAAAAAAATAAATCTAGCTGAACTAATACACTGCCCTCAGGAAAAACTGTTCGATTCTTTATATTCAGATTTCATAGTCAGAATTTTATTGAAATTGGACTTGTTTAATGGGTTACCTTAGTTACATAGGATAGACTAGATAATAAGCTAAAGCCTCATAAAATGAGTGATCATTTATGTTTAAAAGCCATTACAGATGGATTTTTTTAATTTGGCTGAACAAGAGCCATTTCTTCCATTTATGTCAGTCATTTGTTTATTGTTCCCTTTATGGAACCCAGGAAGTGAACACTTAAAAACATTTTTAGGGAAGATGTTGTATATAGTATATATTCATCTGTAGTAAACTATAAAAGCTTGTTAATCTAAAAATAGAATAATAAAGCCTAGAAAAGTTTGCCTGAAACATTACTCTGCACCAGGTCTCTGGTATATAACTTTAATATTTCTATTACCATATCTATTCTTATTGAACAAGTTTAAATGTTAATCTTGTTTCTAGTTTGCCATGTATTGTCTCCTGCTATTTTATAAAGTGCTAAAAGAAGAACTGAGCCCAATCCAACCTGTTGGCAAATTTCTTTGTGTAAAGCTGGTGGTTTTTGTTTCTTTTTGGTAAGTATTACTTTCTTTTAAATGTTCTCATTTTTTGAAAGGCAATAAAAACCGTTGATTAAGGAGGATTTTTAAACATAGTCTTAATGCGGATGATAGATTAAAATGTCTCTACTTATCTTTTAAAAAGTTCATCTTTTTAGCCCTTCTAGGATTTTCAAAAGAAATAATTAGATGGTCACTGTAACATTTATGTGAAGAAAATTGTTTGAGACAACCTAAATATGTCAATACTGGAATAATTATTAAAATAAATCATGGCCCTGTCATGTAGTAAAATACTATGGAGTTTGGAAGAAAGCATGATGTAGAATATTTAATTATATGAGAAAATAATCAGTAAATCCTTTTAAAACAGAAGGTAAAACTATACATAGTTCAATATAGTAAAGAGGGCCAGGCACAGGGCTCACGCCTGTAATCGCAGCACTTTGGGAGGCTGAGGCGGGTGGATCACCTGAGGTTGGGAGTTCCAGACTAGCCTGGCCAACATGGCTAGTCTCTACTAAAAATACAAAAATCAGCTGGGCATGGTAGCAGGCTCCTGTAATCCCAGCTACTTGGCAGGGAAGGCAGGAGAATCGCCTGAACCCAGAAGGCAGAGGTTGTGGTGAGCCAAAATCACGCCACTGCACTCCAGCCTGGGCGCCAGAGTGAAACTCCATCTCAAAAAAAAAAAAAGGAAAAAAATTTAGTAAAGAGGTGGGTAATAGGGGTCCTAGAAAAAAATACACCAAATTTAACAAGCTAGAAATAATACAAAAGAGGAAAAAGAAAAATCCCTGAAATCCCACCACCCAGAAAAGAATGATTAACATTTTGGTAAACCTGTGTCACATATAAAACTCAAGAGAAAGTTTCATGCTATAAAAATTTGTGGAATTCAACAATGTGTTCAGTATATTGTAGATACAGTTCTTTGTCAGTAAAAAGAAATACAATTTTGTTTGTCGGGGGGGTGTTTTTTGTGGGCCTTTTTTTTTTTTTTTTGCTTTTGCTTAGTATTCTGTTATGTGAATATAACTTTTTACTAATCTCCTTTTGATATTTAGGTTGTTCCTAATTTTTTTACCATTATAAGAAACACTGAAGTGAATACTCTTGTGTATACAACTATGAAAGCATGTCCACTTCATTATTTGCTGTTTAAATTTTACCTGGGGCCATTATCTCTAGATTGCTTGAAATGCTCAGTTTGACTCCCTATCTTGGGACAAAACTACTAGAAAAATGAATTTGTAAAGCAAATTAATATATTTAACATAGATAGAGTTTCTTCAGCAATATGCTGTAAAGGCAGAGGGTGGTGGTGGTCCACAGGTTGCACTGGGTTTTTTTTTTAATGGCACATTTTTAAAACTACTGCTCATTTTATGCTTGATATAGATTTGGCGTTTACCTTTTCCTAACATATAGGCAAGCAGTAGTTATTGCTTTGTTGGTAAAAGTTGGCGTTATTTCTGAAAAGCATACATGGGAATGGCAAACTGTAGAAGCTGTGGCCACCGGACTCCAGGTAAGTAGGTGCCATCTCTGAATTCAATAGAACTTTACTATTAAGCATTTTTACATATCTCCACTAAATCTGACAACCCACAGGGTATGGGGGCTATTATCCTCACTTTACAGGTGAAAAAACAGGGGAACCCTAGAGAAATTGGCCATAATTACTAATTTGTAGCAGATACACGAATAAAACCTGGATTTCATTATTCCTAAGTCCAATTCTCTTTCTACATTTCTCCTTGTAGTCCTTGGGTGGTGAAATGCAATATACATGATGTGACTGAGAATGAAATGTACTTTGCTAAGAAATACTTGAGGCTGACTGGATGCAGTGACTCATGCCTGTAATCCTAGCACTTTGTAAGGCCAACGTTGGGGCATCACTTGAGTCCAGGCATTCGAGACCAGCCTGGGCAACAAAGCGAGACCTTATCTCTACAAAAAATTAAAAAATAAAATACTTAGCCAGGCCCGACAGTGCATGTCTATACTCCTAGCTACGTGGGAGGCTGAAGTGGGAGGATTGCTTGAATTCAAGGAATTCAAGGCTGCTACTTGAGGAAGTGCAAAATAGATTCACATTTTGGCATTTTGCCTTTTTTTGAAGAGGTCAAAAATAATTATTTTGGAAAATGGAAAAATGAATATAATCTGGGAAGAAAAAACACAGCTGTTTATCTTACTACTTTTGAAAAGCAAGTAGAGAAAGATAGCACTCTACAAAACTAGATTTAAATCCAAAGGTGACTGTTATTTTATTGTTCTCATAGGATTTTATTATCTGTATTGAGATGTTCCTCGCTGCCATTGCTCATCATTACACATTCTCATATAAACCATATGTCCAAGAAGCAGAAGAAGGCTCATGCTTTGATTCCTTTCTTGCCATGTGGGATGTCTCAGATATTAGAGATGATATTTCTGAACAAGTAAGGCATGTTGGTAAGTACCAGCTATTTAATTCAACCGAATAGGTTAGGTAGGATATTGAATTTCTCCTGCTAGGGCAATTTATTATCTATTTGGAGATGAAAAAAGACTTTAAAGCAGTACCACAGTGCAGGCTCATCAACTTTGGGGAGTGGGAGAGGGGGAAGTGGGGAGCTTATTTTTAGAATGGTAAGTTTATAATGGTAAAAATAACTTCTAACAGAAAACTTTATATTAAAGGACGGACAGTCAGGGGACATCCCAGGAAAAAATTGTTTCCCGAGGATCAAGATCAAAATGAACATACAAGCTTATTATCATCATCATCACAAGATGCAATTTCCATTACTTCTTCTATGCCACCTTCACCCATGGGTCACTACCAAGGGTTTGGACACACTGTGACTCCCCAGACTACACCTACCACATCTAAGATATCTGATGAAATACTTAGTGATACTATAGGAGAAAAAAAAGAACCTTCAGATAAATCCGTGGATTCCTGAACAGTATGGAAAAGCGAACTGTGCAACTACTATATTGTATCATTACCTGGAATCCCATGGATTTTGTGCTTGGGACAAACCATAAATGATGGAAACTGTCAACACAAAAATAGCTGCAAGCCAGGTACAACTACTGAATTTATATATGTAAGTTTTGTATATCAAAAATAACTGATCTAAATTTCCTAGACTTAGACTTGATTTCTTAACATTAGAGTATCACATACTCAAATGGTAGACAATGACCCCAACTGAATTTTCCTGATGTTACACTGCTTTATCAAGAGGATGGACTTTTTTTTTTTTTGGAGACGGAATCTTGCTCTGTCACCTAGGCTGGAGTGCAGTGGCGCAATCTCAGCTCACTGCAAGCTCTGCCTCCCGGGTAAATGCCATTCTCCTGCCTCAGCCTCCCAAGTAGCTGGGACTATAGGCACCCACCACCATGCCCGGCCTTTTTTTTTTTTTTTTTTTTTTTTTTTTTAAGTAGAGACAGGGTTTCACCATGTTAGCCAGGATGGTCTCGATCTCTTGACCTCGTGATCCACCCACCTCGGCCTCCCTAAGTGCTGGGATTACAGGCGTGAGCCACTGCGCCCGGTTGAGAATGGACTTTTTTCTTAAAAAATCAGTACTTCCTACCACTGCTGCATGAGTATAATGCTCCGGAATTATCAGAAAGCATAATGCAGAAATACGAATTAGTGGAACTTAATCATGTGCCATATAAGCTTACCTAACAAGCAGTTACATCTCTTATTTCTCAACTGAATGTCTTTCAATAAATAAGAATTTATCATTTATTTTCTGCAACTTTATGTCTCATTCTTTAAACATTAAAAAACCTTAATATTTTAACAATTTTTGATTAGAGGCACAGTGAAAAAGAAGTCAAACAAAAAATGTACTACTTTTCGTCAGTGCTATTAAAGGCGGCAGCAAATGTAAATCTTGGCTGAATGGTCTTAATTACTCATTAAACCACAGTCAGAAGATATATAGGTGCTATTTGGGAAAACTTTATTACCTATGATGGGGTTTCTCTAATTGCTAATCACAACCCCACTGGGTCATGTTTGACATTTTATAATGAAAATAAAATAGAAAGTGCCATAGTATGTTACAGAAAGCAAAGATGAGTATTGTTTCTCAAAGCCTTTGCTTTATGTATTTATACACATACTCATTCATATATACATATATAGAGACAGATATAGTGGTTCACAGTAATTACACAAAGTCTTTATTCTGTCCACTGTTATAAACATTTCTATTAAAACTAAAACTGGGCTATATGTAAAAACCCCAAAGATACACAAAAAAAAATCTGTTAGAACTCAAGTGAATTCAGTAAAGTTGCAGAATACAAAATCAACATACAAAAAGCATTAGCATTTTTATACATAAAGAATGATCTAACTGAAAAATCAAGATGCCATTTATGATAGCATAAAAAAAATACTTAGGAATAAATTTAACACCAAGGCAGTAAAAGAACTGTACACTGAAAACTATGAAACACTGATGAAAGAAAGACACAAATAAATGGAAAGATATCCCGTGCTCATGGATCAGAATAATATTGTTAAAATGGTCACACTACCCAAAGCAATTCAGAATCAACGCAATCCTATCAAAATTCCAATGGCATTATTTACACAAATAGAAAAAAAATCCTAAAATTCATATGTAACCATAAAAGACCTGAATAGGCAAAACAATACTGAGGAAAAAAAGTTGGAGACATCACATTTCCTAATTATAAATTATATTACAAAGCTATAGTAATCAAGACAGTATGGTACTGGCATAAAAACACATACATAGAACAGTGGGATAGAAGAAAGAACCCAGAAATAAATCCAAACATACACAGTCAAATAATTTTTGACAAAGACACCAAGAAGACACAGCAGGGAAAGAAGAGTCTTCATTAAGTGGTGGTGGGAAACTGCATTTCCACAGGCAAAACAATGAAATCAGACCCTTATCTTAGACCTACACAACAATCAACTCAAGATGGATAAAAGACCTAAATGTAAGACCAGAAACAATAAAACTAGAAGAAAACATAGGAGAAAATTCCTGGACACTGACCCTTGGCAATGATTTTTTGGATACCACACCAAAAGCTCAGTCAACAGAAACAAAAACCTGACTACATCAAACCAAAAACCTTCTGACAGTAACAGAAACAGTCAACAAAATGAAACAATAGCCTACAGATTGAGTAAAAAATATTTGTAAGCCATATATCTGAAAAAGGGTTTGTATCCAAAATGTATAAAGAATTCATACAACTCAATTTCTAAAATGGGCAAAAGACCTGAATAGACATTTCTCCGAAGAAGACACACAGATGGCCAACAGGTATATAAAAGGGTGCTCAACATAATTAATCATCAAGGAAATGCATATAAAAACCACTCTGAAGTACTACCTTTCACGGAAAATGGAATGGAAGTTTCTAAAGAAAAATAAAACTACCATACGATCCAGCAATCCCTCTTCTGGGCATATACTCAAAGCAAATGAAATCACCACCTTGTAAATAGATCTGCAGTCCGTGTTCATTACAGCATTATTCACAGTAGCCAACATATGGAGACAACTCAAGTGTCTGTTGACAGATGAATAAACTGTATATATATGCATACACACAATGCAATATTATTCATCCCTAAAAAAAAACCAACGATATACTGCCATTTGCTACAACATGGATGGGCCTGAAAGACACTGTGCTAAATGAAATAAGCCAGACAGAATAAAAGACACTGCATAATCTCACATATACGTAGAATCTAAAAATAAAATTCAAATATATAAAGAACAAAACTGGTTATGGGGGGTAGGGAGAAATGGGGAAATGTAGGTCAAAGGATTCAAAGTAGCAGATATGTAGGATGAACAAGTCTAGAGATCTAATGTACAACATGAGAATTTTAGGTAACAAAATTGTACTGTATTTGGGATTCATGCTAAATGAGTAGCTTTCAGCTGCTCTTGTCAGAAACAAAAAATATATGGGTAACTGAGATGATGGATATGTTAATTTGCTTCACATCGTATACCTTAAATGTATGCAATAAAATTTATTTTAAAAATAAAACCGGGTAGTATAATAATAGAGGTACCAAGAATAGGTAGTCTGGAGCAAAGATCCGTCTTATTTGTGACTTACAAAGAGTATACAGCATATAGGAGGCATAATAATCTTCCTTTATTTCAAAAGTCTGTAAAAATTGGATCAATCTACTTATTGTGCATCCAAATCAAAACTTTGAAAAATAGTTTAGGATTAACTCTTTCTTCAATTAAACTTTGTTGTTACCAGCTTTTAAATGTTCTTTTGCCAAAGTAGACCAAGAAAAATGCTGCCTCCTGAAGATTTATTCCCTAACTCCTTAACTGTTGTAATTACATTTAGCTTATAGCTTAAATCCTTTTTCAAGCTTGCATTCTCAAAACCTGAGATGTTTCAGATGTACACTGAGTATTTAAAGGAAGCAAGATTGGAATTTACAGGTAACCATAACCCTCAGTCTTCAGTGGAAGCCTTTCAGTATTTCCCAATTACAAGTTTGGATTTAAGAAAAAAGGCCAAGATGCCTACAAAAGTAAAGTTTTGCTTTACTTATTGACACATGTCAATAACAATAAGACTTTTAAAATCCCTATTCCATAATATCGAGCAAAAGAAGTTTCCTAATTCAAAAAACTAGTGATGTATCCGTTTCCAGAAAGCAAATCTGCAGCAGTATTTCTATAATAATGCTACTCTTTTATTTAGAATCTTTTAAAATATGCTTTATTAATGTCAATGTTTAAAAAATATTTGACCATTACAAGGAATTTTTATAGACCCCCACTAATTAAGATAAGAATTTTGTACTTGTTGATGCTCTATTTAAACAGTTTTCATTGGAAAACTGCTCTTCATTGCTTTACTGTGATGCTGACATTGCTTTTGTGGTGCTGAACGCTGAGTACAAGTTCTTCTCCCATTTCAACCTGGATGGGATTATCTAAAACAACTGCAGCTTGTTTCCAGTGGGAGGCTTCACTTGAAGTATCCAACCTAATCTCTTCATCAAGGTACATATGATACCAAAATGGAATAGCAGTCACTCTTCCAGATTTACAAATGTGTACCTATGAAAATTAAGAAATTATGAAAATATCATCAGAGTACATAGAGTAGACTTAAATAAGTCTTCTTTCTCTTTTTAGTTACTTTTAAATACAAGAATTTATTTTAAAATATATTTCACCAACCTATTCACTAATTTACTTAAATCCATTTTTTGATATTGTTCAGAAAATAAGATTTAAATCTTTAAAGTAGCTAAAACTATGTATAAAAGTATCACCTAATTTAAGATAATTATTCTAAACAATAACAAACGAAATCATTTTGCATGTTGTCCTTACCTTTACTTCTCTTTTAGAGGTGTTCAAATATGGAGTCATTAAATCTAGTCTTAAGAGTTCCACTGGCTTGCTTAAAGGTATACAGGGCAATGAGGATAGATCCAAAAATACACGTATAGGTACCTAGAGAAAGTATAAATTTTTCACTTTCACTTTTTGTGGTCAGGGCTCAAGTTTTTCACTTTTACATATTTCTTTTGTGGTCAGGGCTTGCTTTGTACTTGACTCAATATGATAGAATACTTTTTACATTACCTCCTTTATATTCCCACATCAAGCTAAGGCTGGCTTTCATTAGAACTTTCATTGTTCCAGTACAAAAAGAATGAACAAACCAAGGTTTAGGCAGGTTAGATAATTTGCTATGGTTTCCATTACCTGTAGATCTTTCATTTGGATGGGAGCAGATTAAATTTTTTAAGCTAAACAGCTCTGAAAATTTTTAACCCAAGGATTTGTTTATGAAATAATGGTACAACACTAATTGAATTGTTTCAGATATGATGCCAGATTCAATCAAATAATAATTGATTTCATTTGGAAAATAAGTTTATTTCTAGAAGGCAGTGGTTCTCAATCTTGGCTGCAAACTAAAATCACTTGGGGAGCTTTTTAAAAGCCCAGCTGTTCAGGCCACACCCCAAACCATCTGGCGATAGGATCCCCAGATGTTTCTAATGTACAAAGTTGAGAATCACTATTAAGTGGTCTATCAAGTTTAGTAGCAATTGAATGCTACTATTTAATACTAATAATTTTTAGCTTCATCCTCATTTGAAACAAAGGTAACTGTCATTTTCCTGGTAGAAGGCGAAACAGGACACAGATACATTCGCCTCTCCCTGGGCATCCTTGAAACCATCCAGACTTCCCCATAAAAACTCTAACGGTAACCCCACACCATTTCTAATA